GCACCTCGGGGCTGTGAGTCCCGCCCGGGGGGCCGTTAGGGCGTTAATTGCACGGGGTGTAGGAGGGAGGGGAGGCGGGCAGGGTGCGGGGCGGCAGCCGGCGGGGTGTAGGTGCAAGAGGTTGCAGCACACAGGCCGGGGAGAGCTGCTCCCCACTCCTTACCGGAAGCGGGTGCGTGCGGGGTAATTAGTGCTCTTGATGGAATGCGGCAGGCTGATAACCTGCTTGCCTATTCATTACTTTTTCGACAGCAAACATCCCCATTATCTTGTTTTCCGGAGTTCTGAACAACTAAAAAGTAGCCCGGTGACTTCCCTTTGTAACTCTGGGGTGGCCTCTTGCTCTTTCAGGGAGCAGCGTGTCCCGCAGACCCTTTGTTTTGTTTTGTTTTGTTTTTTTGTAATGTGCACGGGCCCCTAAGCTCCCATAAACGAGAAGGAAATAAGTCTTAAAACAATAGATGCAAATCATGTGTGCTGACATCTAAAAGCCTTTTTTTTTCTAGCACGAGCGTTTTAATTTACTTCTGTTGGACTTGGGTAGTACTATGGGTTTTTTCGTCTTTCTGCTCAGGGATTGTGTATCTGTATTGATTTCTTTTATACTTTTACTTTTCGTTTACTTCCGTTTAGTAAGTTTTTTTGAGGTTTTTAATACATCTCGGTCAAGAGCAAAATTCTGTCGTTTTTTCGGTGGCGTGCATTAACATTTTTACCTTGGGCTATAGGATCGTTAAATTGTTGACAGCTTCAGATAGGAAAACTGCCAAATCTCTCCAGGTGATAGTTTATCACTTCAGGCTACACATAGGCTCTTAAAAATGTTTGGGGTTTTTTTGGCAGTCAACCTTTAGGCAGTCCTCTTTAACTAAACGTGCTGTGTTTCTTTTGATAACGTGGCTGTGTTGCCAGAGACTTGCATTATCATTTTACCTTAGGCTACTTCTCTAGTACTCTCTGGGTTTGCATTTGTTGGGTTATTTTTGCTGTTATTGAAGGTCAGAACATAATTCTATACCCCAGGTGGTGATACAATTTGAAAGTATCTTGGAAGTCCAAACTAAAATCCTTTTAATTTCGGGGA